CCATTTCACCAGAAGCAGATGGTACTATGGGACTAGAAGAAGAATGATACCATTGGACCAGAAGCAGAATGGTACTATCCAACCGGAAGGAGATGGTACCATTTGACTAGAAGCAGATGGTATCATTCAATGGAAAGCAAAAAGCACCTATTCCTATCTTCAATTTATACTGTAAGTGCTGAAGACACACACCCAACACACAGTGGTTGTGCTATTTGTATTAGATGTTATCTTAAATGCAATGAAGAACTGGGTGGTGAGGCTCTGTTTAGAATAAACACAGTAGATGATAGGCCTCAGAGAAGCAAAAACAAGTCCTCAGCATGAGGAAATGCATCCTCTCCAACTAAGAGAGGCTCCAATTTTAGATCCATTGAAAATGAGTTCAGCCAGATAACAGTGGCTCATAGCTATATTCCTAGCTACTCAGGAGGCTGAGATCTAAGGATCACAGTTCAAAGCCAGTTCAGGCAGTCAAATCTATGTGACTCTTATCTCCAATTTACTAGCAAAGAGCTGGAAGTAAGGGTGTGGCTCAAGTGGCAGAGTGCCAGCCTTGAGCCAAAAAAACAAAAAAACAACAACCTAAGAGAATTCCTGGCCCTGAGTTCAAGCCCCAGTACTAGAAAAAACAAGGTTAATTAAAATGATGATCCTATTCTAGGCTACAGTCCTAAAACAAATAAATCATTGACCATATTCTGATATAAATCTTTAAATGGAGGGCTATGAAATTGTGGAAGTTTCCTGTAAACCAGTTCTTTAAGAGGAGCAATGACAAATCTAATCATGTCCTGAGAACATTCTAAAGCTAAAGCAGTTATATGAGAATAGCCCCTGTGCTGGGCAAGGCACAATGAAGTGACAAAACAAGGTAAATGTCAAAAAAAAAAAAAAAAAAAGGAGGAGGAAGGAAGGAAGGAAGGAAGGAAGGAAGGAAGGAAGGAAGGAAGGAAGGAAGGAAGGAAGGAAGGAAGGGAAAAGAGAAGAAAAGAAGAAAAGAGAAAACGCCCTGGAATTTAGTACAGTTTAGTAACAGCCAAAACCATGAAAAATGTGGACTTTTATAGGTATATAAAAAAAATTTAATTTGTGATCTTAGACTTTATTAGTGACTTTAATTGTGGCTGAGAGGTGCTATTAGAAGGGCAATAAATGAAATAGTTATATTGCATCTTTACAACTTTACACGTTTTTTTTTGGGGGGGGGTCCGGTCGTGGGGCCTGAACTCTGGGCCTGGGTGCTGTCCCTCAGCTCTTCAGCTCAAGGCTAGCACTCTACCACTTGAGCTACAGTGCTACTTCTGGCTTTTTTCTTTTTGCTTATGTGGTGCTGAGGAATCGAACCCAGAGCCTCAGGCATGCAAGGCAAGCGCTCTACCACTGAGCCACCTTCCCAGCCCCAACTTTACACTTTAAAAATATGAATTATTCACTAATTTATGTTTGTTTTTGTGCCAGTTCTGAGCTTTGAACTCAGAGCCTGAGAACTGTCCCTGGGCTTTTTTGCTCAAGGCTAGCACTCCACTACTTTGAGCCATAGCTCCACTGCTGGCTTTCTGGTGGTTAATTGGCAATCAGCATTTCATGGACTTTCCTGCGTGAGCTGACTTTGAACTGTGATGCTCAGCCTTCTTTTTTTTTTTTTTTTGTTGGTCATGGGGCTTGAACTCTGGGCTTGGGTGCTATCCCTGAGCTCTTCAGCTCAAGGCGAGCGCTCTGGCGCTTGAGCCATAGCACCACTTCCGGTTTTCTGGTGGTTTATTGGAGATAAGAGTCTCACGGACTTTTCTGCCTGGAATGGCTTTGAATCGTGATCCTCAGATCTCAGCCTCCTCAGTAGCTAGGATTACAGGCGTGAGCCACCTGCGCCGGGCAGATCTCAGCCTTCTGAGTATCTAGAATTATGGTGTAAGCCACTGGCTCACAAATCTGTACCCTTATACATTGTAGGTAAGTCTAGGTAAGTGCTCTACCACTAAGCTACATGATCAGCCCTATCTGTGTGTGTGTATGCATGTGTGTGCACGTGTTCACGCGCATGGGCACGCTGCTCCTGGAGCTTGAACTCAGGGCACTGTCCTTGAGATTTTTTTTTTGTCCTATTCTAGAACTCTACCACTTAAGCCATAGCTGAGCCTCCAGCTCTTTTGTGGTTAATTATAAAAAAATCTCACAGATTTTCCTGTCTGGCTTTGAATAGTGATCCTCCTGTCTCAGCCTCCTGAGTAGCTAGACCAGTGCCTGGTCTTCTATTTATGTACTGTGCCAGTACTAGGGCTTAAACACAGACTACTTGGCTTTTTTATTCATGCACAGTTTAGGACCCTATCACTGAGTCAGATCTCCATTTCCAGCTTTTTGCTAGTTAATTGGAGATGGAGTCTCACAGACTTTTCTGCTTAGGATGACTTTGAACTCCATCCTCCAGGTCTCAGCCTCCTGAGTTGCTAGGATGACAGATGTGAGCCACAGGCACCTAGACAGTATATATGTCACTTCCTTCCTTCCTCCCTTTCTTCCTTCCTTCCTCCCTTCCTTCCTTCCTTCCTCCCTTCCTTCCTCCTTCCTTCCTTCCTTCCTTCCTTCCTTCCTTCCTTCCTCCCTTCCTTCCTTCCTTCCTCCTTCCTTCCTTCCTTCCTTCCTCCCTTCCTCCCTCCCTCCCTCCCTCCCTCCCTCCTTTCCTTCCTCCTTCCTTCCTTCCTTCCTTCCTTCCTCTCTCTTTCTTTCCTTTCCTTTTTTCTCTCTCCCTCCCTCTCTCATTCTCTTTTTTTCTTTTCTTCTTTTGTGCTAGTTCAAGCTAGGGCTTGAATTCAGGGCCTGGGCACTGTCCCTGAGCTTCTTTTGCCCTAGGCTAGAGCTTTACCACTTGAGCTGGAGCTCCATTTCTGGCTTTTGTTTGTTTTTCTGGGTGGTGGGTGGAGGGAGGCAGGGGAAAGGTAGGTAGTTTATTGGAGATTAAGAATCTCATAGACTTTTCTGCCCAGGCTGGCTTTGAACTGCGATCCTCAGACCTCAGCCTCCTGAGCATCTAGGATTACAGGCATGAGCCATTGGCACCCAGCTAACAGTAAAGAATTTAAGATTACATAACTAAACACCCATTCACCTGTGCTAACTACCCTTAGAGTGAAAGGCACTTATAGTACATATAGAGTAATAGAAAGATTTAGAATGGAAAATAGGAAAAACATTTTGTGAGGTTAACTACTTCACTAATATATCTCTTCCCTTTTTGTGGGGAGTACTAGGATTTGAACTCAGGACCATGTATTCCATTAGGGCGCTGACTACCACTTGAGCCATGCCTCCCACCCTGCTTTTTGCTGTTATTTTGGGAGATGGATTCTCTTAGACTTTTCTGTCTGGTCTTGCCTGAAACCATGATCCTCCAGATCTCAGCCTCTCAAACAGCTAGGCTTACAGGTATAGCCACCAGCTCCTGGCTCTATTATCCTCTTTTTGACAACATCAAAATGTCTCCCAAACCATAAAGATGTTTAACTTCTAACTTGTGATGTCAGTCTTGTGGAAGAGACAGAACAGATGAGCAGAAGGTGGGAGAGGCACCTCCAGCAGAGCCCAATCACCTAGCGAGTAGTGACCCAGAATAAAGTTTAAAGTAGAATAAATGGAAATAAAAAGATGGAAGTAGAAAAGGGGAAAAGCTTATAAGACAATATCAATGGCTTTTGACAATGCAATGATAATGATGTCAAACAGATGTTTATATAGGCAAGGACCAAAGAGATCAAACATAAACCAAACGAAGATGCTTTGTTAATATTTATTCATCTTAACCATTTTGATGGGCCAATAAGATTAAAGGCTACAAAATGTAAATACAATAGAAATCATTTATTAATCATACCATTGTCTATCCTAAAGGCAAGTAGACAGGACTGTTAAACCCATGTGGAACACTAAAAATGATTTTTGTGGTTTTATCCAAGTTAGATGCCCTGATTCATCATTAACACTTTGGTAGTTCACAGGATATTCCAGATACTGTCTGAAGGGATCTAAAACCATAAGGAATTCTGAAGGCAGACATAGCTGGGAGAGGAACTGCTTGTGTGTGTCCTTGCGTGTGTGCATGTGTATGTGTTCCTGTATGCATGCACGCATACAACTACTTGGCCTGTAAGGCCATCCCAATGTATTTATCATTCCTGTTTCCTCCTTCTGTGAGAACATTAAGAGTGAATAAATTCTGTGGTGTAAGTTATCCTACCACCTACTTTTTAATCCCAATCATGAAGCTGGATTTCAAGTGTCACATAAAAAAAGTACTAGAGTGTTAAAGGCTCAGGTTTCTAAAAAGAAAAATTAAGGTCAAATTGAAAGAAAAGAGGTAGGAAGAAAAATCAAAAAAAAAAAAAAAAAGCAACAACACTGGTTAACTATTGCAAAGGTGGAAAACTCAAAGGCTACTCTAAAGGCCTGGAGAGAATAGAAAAACATACAGCAGGCCGGGAGTCTACAAGGTACAAGTAGAATCTCTGGCAAAGGGCAGCGTTGGCTCTCATAGTAGCAGCCAGCCTATGACTGAGCCAGGCCAATGACATACATGACCAGCAGCAGACAGGCTGAGTCATTGCAAAAGGCCCGTGACAACCTGAGCTCCCTTCACTGAAATTACAGTACAGATGACAAGACTGAAACACAAAAATCTGACCACGTCTGTCCTGTCCTGCATGGTTAGGTAGCTCAATTGCCCAGTCCTCTCTCCCATTTCTTGCAACTTTTTCCTCCCTGGCTGTTAGGTAGGAAGCCCCTGAGGATTTCTCGCAGCCATGGTCAAGACTTTCTAGAAAGTCCCATGGGCAAAAGTTTTGAGTTCAGTCAATAGAAGGAATTTGCAAGTCCTGAAGGTCTGACTCTCTGGATTGGGGGGGGTGGGGTGGGGTGAGGGAGAGGTGGCCAGGGGCTGGAAGGAAGGAGAGAGGCTTCTATCCAACTACAATTGCATCACATGCACCCAAGGAAAAAATGTTTACCTGGTAGAGCCACGGTTAACCTTTTTTCCTTGCTGAGTCGGTGCCCTTGGATGAATTCACTCATGGAAGGGGGGCCTTTCAGAAGAAATGACTCACTGGAGGTGGGGTCGGGGGCAACTCTTAATAAATTCTGTAGGTAAGGAGCCCCCGGAGTCCTGGGACGGCTCTGATCACAAAGGGAAGGTGAAAATTGTCTTGCAGGAGATCCAAGAAAAATACATATAGGAAACAAAAAAGTTTTACTTTAATTACCTTTCGATGCCTCATTGGTGATAACATTATTTATATTGCCACTCTTTTTTTAAAAAAATTTTGTGCCAGTTTTGGGACCTAAACACAAGGACTGGGAGCTGTCCCTGAGCTTTTTTGCTCAAGGCTAATAGTGCTCTACCACTTGAGCCACAGCTCCACTTCTAGCTTTTTGCTAGTTAAATGGAGATAAAAAAAATCTCACGGACTTCCTGCCCAGGCTGGCTTTGAACCACAATCCTCAGATTGCAGGCTTCGAGTAGATAGGATTGCAGGCATGAGCCATTGGTGCTATACCACTTCCTTTTTTTTCCTGGCATATATATATATATATATATATATATATACACATATATATATGCTGGAAAAGTGACTTAGTATAAGTTAGTCAATTTGAACCACCACTACTGGTATTCTTTGATTTTTTAAAAAGGAAAGGCCCTAAAATAAACAATTCTGAAGCATACTAAACTGCAAAAACAAGGCATATAACTCAATAGCCAGGATTTTTTTTTGTAGGGGAGGGGGGGCATCACAAAATCAAGTCATTAAAAAGCTTGCAAGTGCTTCTCTGAGCAATATTCACATGCCAAATTAAAAAAAAAAAGCATACGGTCTTGAGCAAAGAGAGCTCAGGACAGTGCCCAGGCCCTGAGTTTAAACCCCAGGACTGGCACAAAAACAAAACCAAAAAAAGAAAGACATAAAAACTTGTTCTTATCAAAAGAACTATCCATATTCCAGTTTACCTAAACATAAGCATACTTTTAAAATCAGAGTAGTTTGAGTGGTATAGACAAGAATTCTCTTAACAGATTCATATCCTCTCCATTAAGGAGAATAAATAATTACTATTTCAGGGGGGGCAGGGGGTTCAATGACATTTAAAATGATAGCCTGTGTTGACTATAGATTATTATTATTATTATCATCATCACTATTATTATTAGTGCCAGTACTGGGGCTTGAATTACACAGCCTACCATTTTTGCTTGGCTTTTTTGCTCAAGATTAGCACTCTACCATTGAGCCACGCTTCCAATTGTGGCTTTTTACTGATTAATTGGAGATAAGAGTCACTGACTTTCCTGCCCGGGCTGGCTTTAGACTACGATCCTCAGATCTCAGCCTCCTGAGTAGCTAGGATTACAGGCGTGAGCCACCAGCACCCAGCCAACAGGTTGATTCCTGTTACACATTCATCTTTACCTATTCATCATTAAGTTGAGACAAGAGGAAGATACTCTTGATGCTTACAGACAGAAGTCAACATAGGAACAGGCGATTGAATACTGTATTATGGTTAATCATGAGTTGGGAATGGCAAGAAAGGAACATACATCAACATAATTCTTCCATGCTTTTCATCTGGAGCCACCAACACAAGTAAATCCCACTGATAGTCCAGTTCCCGTTTCTCTTTTCTTTCCCCCTCCTCCATCCTCCACAATAAGAACCCCATTAACCAAAGCCTGGCCACCGCATCATAGTGTGAAAATCACTCAGGCATACCTTTTCCTCTGAGTGCCACTGCTGCCCCTCGAGCTGGGTGTCTGTGGGTGCGGCCTATGCAGGGGGTAAGTGTGTACGGTGGGCAGGGTGGCTGACACCGCTTCACTTACTTTAGGACTGCCGAGCTTGCTCTTTCCAAGTTTGCCTTTGGTGCGTCGAGACTGCTCATGATCAAACTCTAAGTCCTCCAGCCGCTGGGTCAGGGCGAGTTTTTGCTGAATGGCCATGCGCAACAAAGTGTTCAACGTCTTCTTCTCATCCTCTGCAGCTGCTAGCTGCCGCTGCATCTCATCCAACTGGGTGACATATTCATCACACCTGGAACCCCAAACAGAACAGTGGGTCAGGAGGAAACATGAAACAGGACTGGATCTGAAGTCAAAGTGTTCAGTTTCCATCGATTGCGATTTCAGGGATCTGACGTCACCTGCATGGAGTTACATTCCCAAAATATTAAAGAGCTGTGCCGGGCACCAGTGGCTCATGCTTGTCATCCTAGCTACTCAGGAGGCTGAAGGCTGAGGATGGTGGTTCAAAGCCAACCTGGGCAGGAGGGCCTGTGAGACTCTTATCTCTGATAAATTACAAAAAATAAAATAAAATTTGGAAGTGGGGTTGTGGCTCTAGTGGTAGACCACTAGCCTAGAACACAAAAGCTCAGGAATAGTGCCAAAGTCCTGAGTTCAAGCTCCAGGAGAAGTACCAAAAAAAAAAAGTAAGAGCTGTATTAACTCATGGGGGGTAAGGGGGGGGGCGGAGAGCTGGTACTGGGCCTTGAGCTCTTCCTTAGCTTATTTTGCTCAAGGCTAGTGCTCTACCACTTGAGACACACCTCCACTCCCAGGTTTTTGATGGCTAACTTAAAGTAAGAATATCACAGATTTTTCTACCAAGACTGGCTTCAAACCATGATCCTCAGATCTCAGCCTCCTGCGTAGCTAGGATGACAGGCGTGAGCCACCAGTGGCCAGTTTAAAAACATGTTTATATAAGAGAATTGTTTGATCCCGTGTGCTCAGCACAGGGCTTTGGAAATGAGGTCTGGAAAATGCGACTCTTTAGCAGAGTCAAATCTCATACATTTTCTTCCAGCTTTTCTGCCCTGGAGCACACACCCAATGCCCTGCAGGTATGCAAAGACACACCCACGGCTTTGGCAGTCTCCCTCCTGGGTGTCACCGAAAAAGGACAGGAAGGAAGTCAGTTACCTTGTGGCGAACATGGCTCGCAAGGATGAGAAGGTGGCCGCATCTTCTTTCAAAGCCTTCAGCTCATTCCTGAGTTTCGTCATCGTTTCAGTCACCATTGCCTTTTCATTTTCGTATTTGTTCTTCAGATTAGCAAGTGCCACCTCGGCGGTCTGGAGCAGAAAAACCCCACCAGGACAGCCTGTCAGGCGTGCACATTCACGGGGCCTGCTAGTTGCTCTCATCAAGGGAAAAGGGAAGCTACTTAGATTTTAATAAGCACATATACATACACTGGACATAGAGGATAGCTGTCAATTTTTCCTTTTGTGCCGGTACTGAGGTTTGAACTCATGGCCTGAACATTGTACCTTACACTAAGGCTTTTGCGCTTAAGGCACTGGCCTTAAGCTCTATCACTTGAGCCATAGCTCTACTTCTGGCTTTTTGGTGTTTCGTTGGAGATAAGAGTCTCACAGACTCTCCAGGGTTAATTTTGAATCTGGATCCTCAGATCTCAGCTGCCTGAAGAACTAAGGTTGAACTACCAGTGCCCTGCAGGGAAGGTCTTATTATTTATTTATTTATTGCTGGTTCTGGGGTTTGAACTCTGGGCCTAAGGGCTGTCCCTGAGCTTCTTTTGTTCGAGGCTAGTGCTCTATTCAAGAGCCACAGCGCCACTTCTGACTTTTTCTGAGTAGTTTATCAGAGATAAAAGTTTCAAAACAGGCACTGGTGGCTCACACCTATAATTCCTAGCTACTCAGGAGGCTGAGATCTGAGGATCATGGTTCAAAGCTAGCCCGGGCAGGAAAGACCATGAGACTCCTATCTCCAATAAACCACCAGAAAACGGGAAGTGGCACTGTAGTTCAAGTGGTAGAGGGCTTGCCTTGAGCTGAAGAGTTGAAGGATAGCGCCCACGACCGACCAAAAAAAAAAGGTTTCACAGGTTTTCCTGCCTTGGCTGGCTTTGAACAGATCTCAGCCTCCTGAGTAGCTAGGATTACAGGTACGAACCACCAGCATCTGGCAAAGAAGGTCTTTTTAAATGTCAAATCATGCTTTAAGTGATAATGTGTTAAAGTGCCCTAGAAACTGCCCAGCTGTCAGTTAATCAGTAGCAGAGGCAATGGTCAGGACAGTAGTTCAATCAACGCTTCATGCAGGTTGATGAAAGGGTAAGGGCTTCAGCTATGGAGAGAGCCAAAATTACACTTCATCCAAGAAGGATTTGATTAACAAGTTAAAAAAGACAGAGAGAACATATTCCTAATGAAATATATTACAAACCAAACATTTTTGTGCCATGCTATATGGCCTTAAACAGAATAAAAGACATAAATAGTGCCAGTGGCTCCTGCCAGTAATCCTAGCCACTCAGGAAACCGTGCTGAGGATTGCAGTTCAAAGTCAGCCCGGGCAGGAAAATCCATGAGACTCTTTATCTCCAATTAACCACCAGAAAACTGGAAGCGGCACTGTGCCTCACTCAAAGTGGCAGAGTGTTACCCTCGAGCACAAAAACGCAGGGACAGCACCTAGGCCCTGAGTTCAAGCCCTAGGACTACCACCAAAAAAACAAACAACAACAACTACAAAAAAAACACCAAACCAAACTTTGTAACATGGACTGCCTAGATACTCTAACACTTTCTACTCCATTAAGGTGATGAACAAAATAAAGTTCCACCTTATCCTTAGGTATGTATATGAGATGTTTATAGTGTAAGCCATAGTACCGCTCAGGGTAAGGATACCTTAGGGAACTTGGGGAACAGATGAAGGGAACCAGAAAGCCGCACTGAGTCATGTAAGGATCCGGGGACAGCAAGAGGAGCTCTGACTAAAACATTTACCTTCTCTATGGGGCTGGGAAGGTGGCTCAGTGGTAGAGTGCTTGCCTTGCATGCATGAGGCCCTGGGTTGGATTCCTTAGCACCACATAAGCAGAAAAAGCTGGAAGTGGCGTTGTGGCTCAAGTGGTAGAGCGCTAGCCTTGAGCTGAAGAGCTGAGGGACAGTGCCCAGGCCCAGAGTTCAGGCCCCACGTCCAGCAAAAAAAAAAACAACAACAACACACACATTTACCTTCTCTCTCAGTCCCTATCACTCCCCCTTCTGTTTCTTAGCATTGCTTGCATTTTTTTTTTTTTTTTTGGGTCCGGTCGTGGGGCCTGAATCTGGGCCTGGGTGCTGTCCCTCAGCTCTTCAGCTCATGGCTAGCGCTCTACCTCTTGAGCCACAGCGCCACTTCCGGCTTTTTTCTTTTTGCTTATGTGGTGCTGAGGAATAGAACCCAGGGCCTTGAGCATGCAAGGCAAGCACTCTACCACTGAGCCACCTTCCCAGACCACATTGCTTGCATTTTTATCAAGTGAATTTGTGGTGATGGTGCGTGGTGGCAGGAGAAACAGGGGGTACTAGTAGTGGGACTTGAACTCAGGACCTTGTGCTCTTCCTCCCCATCCCCCGCCCCCCACCCAGTCGTGGGGCTTGAACTCTGGGCTTGGGCACTGTTCCTCAGCTCTTCAGCTCAAAGGCGACTGTTCTACCACTTGAGCCACAGCGCCACTTCTGGTATTCTGAGTGGTTTACTGGAGATAAGAGTCTCACAGATTTTCATGCCCAGGCTGGCTTTGAACTGTGATCCTCAGATCTCAGACTCCTGAGTATCTAGGATTTTAGGCATAAGCCCGGTTCCCACCTCTTTCTGGACTTTTTGACTCAAGGCTGGCCCTCTACCACTTGAGCCACACCTCCATTTCAGACTTCGACTCAAGGCTGGCTCTCTACCATTTGAGCCACACCTCCATTTCAGACTTCTTTTCAGATAAAGTCTCGCGGGCTTTTCTATCCAGGCTGGCTTTGAATTAGACCCTCAGATCTCAGCCTCCTGAGTTGCTAAGATTACAGATGTGAGCCACCATGACCAGGAAGTCTGAACTCTTATCTTGATCATCCTGGGAATTCCATCAAATTAGGGACTTTCAGCCTTCTTGCCCTAACATGCTGACATGGGTAGACAGGAATTACCTGCTTATTGGCCTTAAGTACAGCCCGAAGGGTGGCGATCTGTTCCCTCTTTGTGCTCAGCAAGGACTTGAGCTTGAGGATCTCTTCCATTAAGGCTTCCTTGTCTTTATCAATCATGGGGGCCAGCTCCCGAGCCGCTGCTCTCTGACGAGACAGCTGCAGGGACCTGTCCACTGCCTTCTGCAGGTGCTTAATCTGATCCCGGATGATGGCGTTGAGGTTGTAGATGTTCATTGGTTCTTTGCGAATGTCACTCGTGTCTAACACTGGAGAGGAGGGGGGCGCGGTGATGACGGGAGAGATTGTGGGGGTTTTCGTTGGACTCGGCTCTTTGCTGGCCTCAGCATTTTCTTTGGGACCTGGATCTGATGAGGTCTTGGGTTCTACTGCAGATGCCACCCCGCGCCTGGCGAGCCGTGGTGACAAGAGTCCCCTGGGGTCATCTGGCCCCTTCAGACTGCCACTCCGGGTGACTCGGCTTTGTCTATAATAGTCCAACATCACCCTGTTGGGAGTCTCATTGTTACACAGACACACATGATGATAAAGCTGAGCAAGCTCCTCGCTGAACGTGACCAGCTCATCCTGGGCCGTGTTCAGTGTATTGTGATTTTCATTGGCGATGCTGGTCATCTTTTGCAGCTCTTTCTCCATGTGTGCCATCTGCTCGCCGCTCTCCTTGGTGGTCTTCTCCAGGTTTGTCACCTGCTCATCATACATCTGGATCTTACTCTCATACTTAGCCTTGTCTTCTGTATAGTTCTCCACAGACTTATTGTATTTCTCTTTTAAGGCCTTAATTTCTGCTTTCAAATCAATCACCTCGGTGACCGCAACCCGGTATTTGCATTCGAGGATCTCCAAGCCATTGATGTCTACCTCATAGTCGTGGGCCTCCTCTGTGGAGTCCCGGCCCTTCTCGCCATCCAGCTCTGCTTTCAGTTCCTTGCTGCTCTGCAAGCCTCTCATGGCATTTACATGCTCCGTGAGCCGGTGTACTCGCTCATGCTGCTCCGTCAGCGCACCCTTGGTGTGCTCCAGCTGGGTCTGTGACTCTTGCAGGTTGGCCAAAAGAATGGCCTTTTCCCTCTCTACCTGCAATGCAAAAGACAGTCTCTGAATGGCTTCAATGGGATGAGGAGCTTGGTCCAGTTAACACCTGCATGTTCAAAAAACTGCAGCAGGTCAGGTATTGGCGGTTCACACCTGTAATCCTACCTACTCAGGAGGCTGAGAGATGAGGATAACCATTCAAAGCCAGCCTGGGCAGAAAAGTCTGTGAGGCTCTTTTTTGTTTTTTTTTGGTCTGGTCGTGGGGCCTGAACTCTAGGCCTGGGCGCTGTCCCTCAGCTCTTCAGCTCAAGGCTAGTGCTCTACCACTTGAGCCACAGCACCACTTCCAGCTTTTTTTTTTTTTCTGCTTATGTGGTGCTGAGGAATCGAACCCAGGGCCTCATGCATGCAAGGCAAGCGCTCTACCACTGAGCCACCTTCCCAGCCCTCTTTTTTGTTTTGTTTGGTCATGGGGCTAGAACTCTGGGTCTGGGCACTGTCCCTGACCTCTTCAGCTCAAGGCTAGTGCTCTACCACTTGAGCCACTGTGCCACTTCCAGTTTTCTGGTGGTTTATTGGAGATAAGAGACTCATGGACTGGGCTGCCAGGGCTGGCTTTGAACCACGATCCTCAGATCTCAGCCTGAGTAGCCAGGATTACAGGTGTGAGCCACCAGTGCCAGGCTGTGAGACTCTTTATCTCCAATAAAGTACATGGAAAAGGCTGAAAGTGGCACTATGACTCAAGTGGTAGAGAGCTAGCTTTAAGCACAAAGCAGCTCAGGGATAGCACCCAGGCCCTGAGTTCAAGCCTCAGGCCCAGCAAAAAAACAAAACAAAACAAAAAACCAAACGACTGTAGTAGTGCTGGTGCCAGCACTCCTGCTTGTAATCCTAGCTACTCAGGAGTCTAAGAGCTGAGAATCGAGGTTCAAAACCAGCCTGGGCAGGAAAGTTCGCGAAACTCTTATCTCCAGTGAACCAGCAAAAAACTGGAAGTGGAGCTGTACTTCAAGTGGTAGAGTGCTAGTCTTGAGCATAAAAGCTGAGGAACAGCAGCTGAGGAACAGGCCCTGGGTTCAAACCCCAGGACTAGCACAAAAAATAAAATAAAAGTTAAAAACCTATAGCAGATCCAATATTCCCATGATATAAAATTAACTTAGAGGGGCTGGGAAGGTGGCTCAGTGGTAGAGTGCTTGTTTTGCATGCATGAGGTCCTAGGTTCGATTCCTTAGCACCACATAAGCAGAAAAAAAAAAAAGCTGGAAGTGATTCTGTGGCTCAAGTGGTAGAGCGCTAGCCTTGAGCTGAAAAGCTGAGGGACAGCGCCTAGGCCCAGAGTTCAAGCCCTACAACTGACCAAAAAAAAAAAAAAAACCCAAAAAACAAAAAACAACTTACGAATGGCTGGGAAGGTGGCTCAGTGGTAGAGTGCTTGCCTTGCATGCATGAGGTCCTGAGTTCGATTCCTCAGCACCACATAAGCAAAAAGAAAGAAGCCAGAAGTGGTGCTGTGGCTCAAGCGGTAGAGCGCTAGCCTTGAGCTGAAGAGCTGAGGGACAGGGTCTAGGCCCAGAGTTCAGGCCCCACGACCGGATCAAAGTAAATAAATAAATAAATAAAATTAACTTAGGGTAGGTTTCTTTTTTCTTTTTTTGGGTCTGGTCGTGGGCCTGAACTCTAGGCCTGGGCGCTGTCCCTCAGCTCTTTAGCTCAAGGCTTAGCGCTCTACCACTTGAGCCACAGCACCACTTCTGGCTTTTTTTTTTCCTGCTTATGTGGTGCTGAGGAATCGAACCCAGGGCCTCATGCATGCAAGGCAAGCGCTCTACCACTGAGCCACCTTCCCAGCCCTAGGGTAGGTTTCTTATTCAAGTTTTTTCTTTCTTTCTTTGTACTGGTACTGGAGCTTGACTTGAGGGCCTGAGCACTGTTCCTTTAGCTTTTTGCTTCAGGCTAGCAATCTACCACTTGAGCCACAGGTACACTTCTGGCTTTTTGCTAATCAACTCAAGATAAGAATCTCATAGACTTTCTTGCCCAGTCTAGCTTTGAACTGTGATCCTCAGATCTGAGTAGCTAGGATTACAGGCTTGAGCCACCAGCACCAGGCTTATTCAGCAATTTTGATAAGTCAATCTAAAAAGTATATAATTCACAATATGGTATTTGATGGAAAGCAAATCCATTTGAATTTTTCATAAAGGAAATGGAGAATCTAAATATTCAATTACTGGCATTATGATCAATCTTAATAGAAATGGAGTCCAGGAGTTTTTGCTGTTTTTTTCCTTGAAACTTCAATGACCTTCCTCTAAGAGCCTCAATATTATTTCATTAGTGGACATGACAACGCTGTTTTCAAAAGCCCTTCAATAGGAAAAGCCTTCGGAAAAAAGACAAAAATCAAACCAAAATGAACTGTGGCACAAGGTTGTTTCAGAGGGAAAAGTATTCTGATAAATGAAGTAACATGCTCAGCACTACGACTCACATCTGTAATCCTAGCTACTCAGGAGGCTGAGTTCTGTGGATCCCAGTTCAAAGTCAGACTGGGGAAAAAAAGTCTCTGAGAATCTTATCTCCAATTAACCAACAAAAAGCCTAGAAGTGGAGGCATGGTTCAAGTGGTAGAGCACCAGTCATGAGCAAAAAAGACAAGCAAGAGCACAAGGCCCTGAGTTCAAGACCCAATACTAGCATACACGCAACAAAGTGGTAATGTATTTAGAACTGCTTTTGGTCCATATGCTGGCTGACAGTTCATATTTTAACACACACATTTTCAATGGCTGAAAGGACAAAAGTCTACCAGTTTCTTCACAAGTAATACATGAAGAAAGCCTCCTCTCTTTCATGTGTGTACTAGATACAATCCTGTTTCCAATGCCCAATAAATTTCTTTTTTTTTTTCTTTTGTCAGTTGTGGGGCTTGAACTCAGGGTCTGAGCACGGCCCTTGAGCTATCCCCTCTCCCCCAAGAGCTGAGGATCAAACTCAGGACAAAAACTCAGGGTCCTACACTTGCTAGGCAAGTGCTCTTCCAACTGAGCTAAATCCTCAACCCATCCTTGAGCTTTTTTGCTCAAGACTAGCACTGTACCACTTTGAGCCATGACTCCACTTTCAGTTTTCTGGTGTTTAATTGGAAGTAATAGTCTCATGGACTTTGCTGCCTGAGTTGGCTTTGAATCGTGATTCTCAGATCTCAGCCTCCTGAGTAGCTAAGATTACAGGCATGAGCCACTAGTACCTGGTCTCAACTGATTTTATCAGAAATATATTGGGCATGGGAGCTGAGCACTGGCGACTCATGGCAGAGTTCAAGCCCCATGACTAACAAAAAAATAAATAAATAAAAAATAAAAATAAAAATCAACTGAGTATAAAATTTATATTAGTGTATATTAGACATTGATATATGAACATATGTAGAGTATATATAATTATATACAATATATAAATGTTATCAATTATATACATATTTACTTATACAAATGTAGTAAATAATAAATAAAATTATGATAAATAGAAATATATATTTACATGTGCATATATTATATACAACATAAGCATATTTATATCACATATATTATATGCAATATATAGATATATGTAATATTATATACTATATATTATACAATATATTTATGTATTACATAGATATATATTATATGATATATATGATAGACTGAGTCCTCTTCCCTAGAAAATTAAGGTGATCTGGCCAAAAAATAATATTAAATTACTAAGTTACAGATGAATGTATAAATTTCCAGCATTCTATTACAGCATTATGTATCCTAAATTAGATTTGGATTTTGAAGAGCAAGTGTTCAGACCATTTCAGCGTCCTTGTGCTTTGAATGAACAAGTGCAGAGCACTTTAAAGCTGAAAACAACTTTATATTTTAAGTGCCACTATTTTAATCTCTGTCTGTAGACTAACAGACTTGTATCTAAGATACTTGAGGAGTTAATTATAGTCTTATATCGTGACTAAGAATAGCTACTGATTTCTCTTCCTTTATAGAGTTCTTTCTGGAACTGAGGAATTTTTTTTAGGGGTACTGCCAGTTGTTTGGCCAGAAAACCTATGTGGCGCATGTAAAATATAGCCTAAGAATACAGTATATGCTAGCCATTACTGCTGTTAATATATCCTTCTGAAGTTATTTTAATTTCACTGGTTTATTGTTAATATATTTGCATGTAACTGGATAGATTCATGAAAGAACAAAGAAAAGATAATCAGAACTCATATTTTTGGGTGTATGCTGGTCCTGGGGCTTGAACTCTGGGCCTGGGTGCTGTCCCCAAGCTTTGGTGCTCAAGGCCAGTGCTCTACCACTTGAGCCACAGCTCCACTTTCAGCTTTTTTGGTGCTTAATTGGTGATTAGAGTCTCACAGACTCTCTTGACTGGGCTGGCTTTGAACTCCAATCCTCAGATCTGTCTCTTGAATAGCTAGGAATACAGGTGTGAGCCACCAGCACCAGGCCTTCACCTCCCTCTGCCTTTTTTTTTTAACCTTTGGAGTCGGTGTATGCAACCCAGGCTAGTCTCAAATTTTCAATTCTCCTAGCTGTTGGTAGTGCGCTAACATGCCTAACCTGCATTTTCCTTGCCTTTGCTTGCCTCCACATCTTAGCTAGTCTAATAACAAGGCAATGCAGACAGGCGTCTCTCCTGGGCACTGACTTCAATTCTTCTGGATCTATCCCCAGAAGCAGGACTGATGAGTCACCAGCAATTCTATGTTTAGGTTTTGTTGAGTCATCTGACTCTCAACCTGACACCTGAATGATCAGTGTCATTCTTATAGCAACCTAAGGATAGTTCTTATCAGTATGTGCAAAGAGAATTAATATGCAAATAATATTCTTTGCTTGAAAGGAAGCAAGTTTGGGAGATGCGTATCTGAGTGGGCCCTTATAGAGGAGAACTCTGTAAAGGAAGATTTCAGAGAACAAAGAAATACCAGGGGAAGGAATCCATCAATCATAAGAGTCTAGACTTTGGAGTACAGAGATAAAGGA